AGCCTAACTTTCTGCATTCCTTCCTTCTTCTATCAAGGACAGAAACCCCATATAACCTTTTGCTTTCCTGATTTCCAATCTGTGGCATTTTCCTTCAGCCTGGTTATTAAATTTAACACAAAGTGAAGCTTTGAAAGGCTAAAGAACCTCTTAGTCACTGAGACTGGAAGCCCCGGCATGGCTTCTTTGCCCAGTATGGAAAGACCTTAGGTCTGCACTAGACTACCAATCCTTTAAAAACCTAGAAACTGGTGAGTTGGATTCTTCTAGCTGGCTCTACACTCTGGAAAGTTAGGGGAGAGACAGGTGAAATTCAAAATTAATTAGGTCTGTTTCTTATAGGCAGCTCTGCTAAGGTGTTTGGTTGGGTAGGAAATGAATGAAGACATTCATTTTTAAAAAGCTGATGTAATCCTTAGGCTGCCTCTACCATGAAAGAGTATGCTGGGGTTGGAGTCAGAAAATGTGGGTCCAAGATCCAGCTCTGCCTCAGTACCTGTGTGATCCTGGGCTCCTCATTTTGCTTCTCTGCCTCAGTCTCCTCCCTCCACCTGTGCTCAGTATTACTGGTGTCACCAAGGGCTCCTCTGCTCTTTAGAGCTGGGCTTTGCTCAGAGATCATACCCTGCTAATCCTTTAACTGGCACCTCGACTGACCCTTGCTACAACCAGCAGAAGCAAGTGGTGATACCAACCTTGTTTTACAGATGACAAAACTGAAGCTTGGTGAGGTTAAATGAGGTACAGATCCAAATTCAATTCCAAAGATGAGCAAGCCAGGAATGGTTCAAGGGGCAGGGATGTCACACTGCCCTGCCTTGGGCTAGGTCCTGCATAGGAAGCCACAGGGGCCACAGGAGGCAGCTGCAGCCAGGCAGTCATGCTGGGCCAGCGCAGGAACCCCATGGGGCACTGCAGGAGCTGATGTTTAGTTAGGGAGGAGGTGGATGGAGATTCACAGGTGCAGGGGAAGGCTGCCTCTTCCAGCTCTGCGGTTTCCACCCCCTCCACCTTAAATGAGAAAGGGAAACAGGAAGAGACCCAGAGATGTGAAAGAGGCACCCTCATCTCCAAAGTTCAGGGAAGATGGTAGAACAGGAAGATGACTGGGAACAGCATCAGTGGTAAGGATGAGAACCAGAGGGAAGGGAAGGTACTCACAGGAATGAAGGCTATACAGATGCCCCACATGTACAAGATGTATAGATAGAGATAGGCAGAGATAGAGACAAAGATAGAGATGATAGAGATAAAGATAGATAGACATAGAAATAGATACAGATAGACACAGATATCACCATGCACTTTTAGAGGCCTATTCGAGGAAAGGCATGGAGTACCTGTAGCTTTTTCATCAGACACAAACTGGCACGTAAATTAAAAAGCCTGCTATACATTTAGGTGCCACAACTCCACTCTTTCTTGTTCAGCCCCAATCACACCCTCACTTCATTTCACCCTGTGCCAGCAGTGTGGGCCACACACAGCCGTGTGCCCTTGAACCTGTCACAAACCTTCTGAGCCTCAGCAGCTCCTGTCCACTAAGGAGGAAAACAACCCTTATATAGTGCTTACTACTGTATGCACTGTACATATATGAACTTGTTTAACCTTCCAAACCACTCTAGGAGATTATTGTTATTATTTGACAGAGGGGGAAACTGAGGCATCTGCAGCAGTTTCATAACTTGCAACATCACAGCAAAAGCTGTCTTGAGCTCCCTTTTGAACTCCACAATCTGCTTTGCTACTTTGCTGCAGACTGGGGCTCTGGAGAGCAGAGAGCAGGTTGCAGGGGCCTGTGCGTGAGTGGTGGCTTGTGTGTCCTTGATGGTACTCTGCTCACCTGGGGTGAGGGGAGTCCCCAGCCTGAGGTCTGAGGATGCTGGCCAGATGCCAGCCTTCCTGGAGGTGAGGGAAGAATGCCATGCCCTCCCCCACTGTCCACAGGACCATTGCTGAGCTCTTTTTTTTTTTTTTTTTTTTTTTGGTACCAGGAATTGAACTCAGGACCCTGAGCTTGCTAGGCAGGTGGTTATGCCTCTGAGCTATATCTCCGGCCCCACTGCTGAACTCTTTCTCTGCTGCCAAGAGCGGGTTTGTCTGTCTCCTGGAGACAGCGGTTGTCAGGCCCTGGGAGAACAGCGAGCATGTCAAAAATAGCAGCAGCAGCCAGCAGACTATGTGCCTGCAATTTCCTTTTGAAATGTCGGTTCTGCTCTCACCCAAGAGTCAGGGTCTGTCTGTCTGTTTGTCTTTCTGTGCTCCCTGCAGTCTACATCAGAGGTTGCTGAAAGGTGCAGAATGTCTTTTAGAGCAGGTAAGGCCTGCCTGTCAGGGCCCCTGACTCTAAGGCATCCTCCCTATAGAAACAACAGTGAGGTCAGAGTTGTGTTTTAAAAAAATGTCAGAAACTCCAGCAGAGCTGGGGCCTGAGCACATCAAGCAATAGCCAAGGTTGGGCCAGTGCTAATGATTTACAGTGGTGCAGCCTCTCTTTCTCTTTTGTTCTGGGAATGAGAGAGCCCCATCCTATTGGGGTAATCGTTCAGGAGTGGTCACTGCCAGGACTCTATGCCCCCTTTCAAGTGCCAAGTAAAGCAAGAGTGCAAGGACCAAAAAGGGACAAAGAAGCAGGGTGAGCCACTTTCTCAAGTTAGAGCAACGGGAGGTGACACACATGGCACTCTCCAGCCCCCGGGGACCTTGAGCCCAGAGCAGGAAACCCCACCACACGCCCATCTGTCCTTATCTCTGGGGACCTGTCTAGAAGATATGTCGTCTCCTCCAAACTCCTGTGCTCCAGACCTTATTCTGCCAAGAGATATCTGCACAGCCTGGTCTAAGGCAGCTGCAGAGAAGAAATCCTACAGCTGAATTAATAGCTTTCTTTTCCTCCCCTAAGTGACTGTGACATCCTACAATGAGACCACACTTTTCTTCCCATGGCAATAACACAGTCAAAACCAATCACAGCCAAATGGCACTTCCAGCCAGATTGCCCTGGAGGGTGATATTCTCTGGGAATCTATCTTGGCATTTACACAGAGATGCAGGGCAACAGACATGCCACCCAAAGCAAGGGCTCACCCAGTGAGGAGGATCAGAAGCTTCTACCTGAGCAGCACACCAAGGAAGAGGAGGAGGGGTGCCGTGAGCACAGGCGAATAAGAGCAGGAACAAGGTTGATGGATACTGAGGAAAAGGCAGGACAAAGGCAGGCTGCCACCTCCCTCTTCTCTGGTTTGTCCAAAGCACTCAAGACTGCTAGATTCTCAGGGCAGTGAAGGGTTAACACCACAAGGAGGAATGTTGAGTGAGGGCTAGGAAAAATAAAATCTCAGCTTCTATGCCATTTCTTAAGGAATCTGGAGCTTACAGGTGCAGGGATTAGGTGGGGGCTTGAGTGTTCTAGTGGTGGTATTTATCTATTAATTTGGCCAACAAGGTGTAAATTCCTCAAGCAAGGTCCTGCTGTACTTATGTATAGTGAGTACTGTCCAACATACTGATCATTAGTTCAACACATGCTGATTATGTTCTTCATTTACCAGAAAAATTTCTTAGCACATCTTTAGAGAAATGAAAAGCACGTAAATCCCACCAGAGTTTGACTGTCAAAATTAAAACACACACACACACAAAATCTGTTCTTGGTATTACAGAAAAAAACAGCAAGAACCAATGGCAGACAGCCCTGAAATGTCTTCCTGTGGCAGAAGAAATAAACTGTGCCCTTCACTATCAGATACTCAGTCTGGTCCACCTCTAGAGGTGCTGACCTTCTTGATTTACAAAGCCCAGTATGATTCCTCCCAGCCAAGTATGACCCTCCTAGGTCACTAGATTGGTGTTGCAACACCATCCAATAAATGCTTTTCCTGGTTAATTTTAAAATTCTATGACTATCAACATAATTCCCTTTTAGAACATTTCTGTCACCCCCCAAAATTCTCTAGTGCTAATTCAACAGCCCTGTTGTAGGTCCTGGTGTGGGTGAGACTCAACCCTGTGCTCTGTAGCCTCCAAGAGGGACAGTGAAACACCTACATCTTCACCTGCCTCAACAGGGAGTGTCCCCTACACCTCATACTACTGCGCATGGTGACCTGTACTTGTGTTCTGCCTTCTAAGCACCAGAGAGCCAGAGCCACGGAGGCTACACAGACCTTCAAGTGATCACGTTATCAAGCCAGCCCTGAGTGAAGGCTTCTTCCAGGCTAACTGCCCTCTATATCTTCCTCCGAAGTCCTCTTTACTCCAGTTATTTCACTATTGCTCCTTTGTCTCCGACTTCTCTGCAAAGGTCTCAAATTCAGTGGACCCTGAGATGAACATACTCCAGTGCTATGCAGCAGAATATTTACTGCTACTTATCAGGATCTCTCTCTCCCTCTCTCTCTCTCTCTCTCTGTGTCTCTCCCTCCCTCCCTTTCCCCCCCCTCCCCCTCTCTCCCTTTTCTCTCTCCCTGCCCCATGCTCACAAGTTCAGAGTGAGCGTGGGAGGAAAGGATGATATCCTGACCTGTCAGAAAGGGAATCCTCTGGCTGGAGGCCGACTTCAGCTAACACCCTGAATCACAGCTGTCCTAAAGCTCAAAGTCTGACCTTGACCGAAATGCCATAGTTGTTGCCATCCCCCACCAAAATAAAGTCAGAGAAAGGGAAAAAGAAAGAGAAAGATGTTTAAAGCCACAGAGGAGAGGGAAACCAGAAGCAAGGAAAGGAAAGGAAAATAAAAGGAGGCAAAGAAAGAATAAAAAGAAGGAAAGGGAAGATGCACAGAAAAAGAAATGGCAAGAGACGGGAGCAGGGAGGCAGCTGTGAGAAAGGCAAAGAAATTGAGCCAGGCAGAGACACAGAAATTGAGCCAGGTGGCCACTCACAAAGGCCCATCTTCTGTGCACAGGTGCACATCCTCCCCTCGTCTCCCCGCCACCCCGAGCTCTAACGTTCCCTGTAGGACAGAGCCAAGAAAAGCCCCCCACAGCTGGACTTACCTCGGGTGCCCAAGCAGCCAGCTGTCCCTCCTTGCTCCTTGGGGATGCCCAGGCAGGAGGAGCAGCCCTCACTGCTGGCTGAAGCTGGCAGCCCCAGGAAGTCCTCCGGAAGCCCTGCTGGCTCGAGTCAGGTGTGCAGGCAGTGTGGACTCCACCTTTCCTGGCAGCTGTGAGTGCCCGTGCCGCAGTCACAGCAAAACAGTGCACAGTTTCTTGACGTTCACACCCGCACGCAGACGCCCCAGGCCACGGGGGGCCCTGGACGAAATCCTACACAGAAACCATTGGAGCCACCACCTCTTTTCCTTCGGAGATTCAAGAAGAACCACCTGTGAGACTTTTTCCAGGAGCCAGACTGTCACCTGGGAGGAACTTTTATTTTCCTCTCTCTCCGAGAGCTTGGAAGAGTCTCTCTGAGGAGCTGAGAACTCCAAGATACCTAAGACTAGTATTATTCTGGGCAAAGCCCAGTGTGGCTGCCAAATGAGGAATAATAAGTTGTCCCATCTAAGGACTCTCTTGTCATTTTAAAATCCTAATATTGACATTGGTTCAACTGGGCAGTTGCTTAGTGTTCAAGTTTCTGAACATTCAGGGGTAAGGTGAGGCAGCTCAGGGTCTGGGTGAGAAAACCAAGAGGAAAGGTCCAGAAAAGTGTTGGGGTTGATCTTTCCCCACAGTTTCCAAGCTCCTGTGCCCCTGTCTTGGCTCTACCAGCCCTTAAGCCAATAGATGGGAAGTGCTCTCATTTGAGAAGCTAGAAAGATGGAGTGTATTCTCCCTTGATACTCAAATCAGAAGATAGAGAGAACAGTCTGGAAGGTTGCTATGGCAACCAGAGTCCCTGGAGAGCCTGGCTTTCCACAATCCTTTTACTCTCAGGCATGCTCAGACTTGAAAAGGCAATGTTAGCTTAGAATGGTGAGGAGGATGATCACACACATATGTAGAGATGCATGCATCCAGGTACCAACATTTACCCTCAGCTGGGAGCAGCCCTCTAGCCACTGGAGTGGGCCCTTTTCCTCCAAAGAGCCAGGAGTAATGGAAGCAATTTGGAAAAAGAGCACTTCCTGGCCTCTGATTCACAAACACCTCTGTGTTCTACTATATTTCAGGTTGGAGAAGTAAGCTCCAAGGCAAGGTGAGCTCCATCCCTAGAAGGATCCCACCAAGCCTACTAAAGAGTGTCCTCCATTCTGAAGAAAAAAGATGGTAGCCCAGCCCAAGGGAGGAGGGATTTAGGAAACCAATGGTCTATTTCTTAGGCTCTCAATCCCAGGCAGAAACTTTAGAGGGAAACCTTGCCTCTGGAAGATGGGAAGACCAGGTGATAAACTAAAAATCAAATTCATTACTATAATTCACATATTTGCATAGTGTCTTCCCCAGCTTCCCAGATGAGTTCATTAACATTCCCCATGAGGTAGGGAGGGAAAGACATTGATGTTCCCATTTAATAGGGAAACTGAGGCACAAAGAGGGACTATCTCACCAGTTACCCTGTAAAGCTGTGGCAAAATCCAGCTTTGGATCTGACACTCACAGAAGCCCCTCAAGTGGACCTTCAAAAGGCTGTCCCTCATAAATTGCTCTTTGAGAAAATAATTTTCTAAAAAAATTCTCATCAAAGAGTCTTAAAGCATAGATAGAAAATTCTAAATGTTTTAACAGTCCTTTCGGTTTCAGAACTGCACCCAGGAGAGATCCGAATGGTACAGCACAGTTTATGAAAGGAAAAAAAAAAAAAAAGAACATCAATGCTACCAGGAGAAAGAAGAGGGGTGTGGGCGGGTGGGATGAATGGAAGGGGTGCACCATGGAAGAAGGGTGCCCTACCATGTTACCTTACCAGGCAGAGCAGGCCACGCGTGGCTCCAGGGCAGAGAAGGAGAATGCCTGCCACACAGCAAGAACAGCGGGGCTGCCAGGAGGAGTGCTGCTCGCTTCTAATCCTAACCCTTACCTTGCTGCCCATGGAACGGGAAGAAGCCTAGGCTGGCAGCCAACCCGTGCTTTCACCTCTGCAGATTTCAGGTAAGGTGACTTTAAAGAGACTTGAACTGCAACCCTAAGTGAGACTTCAACTGCAGCCCTAAGTGAGACTCCCTGGAAAAAGGGGAGAGGGTTTCAGAGGTTGGGGGAAATGATAGAGGGAAAACTATTGCCTGCAGTCAGATTCTGCTATCACTCCAAGATGACAGCTCCTGTTTCAGTGACACTTGGCTTCAGGTTTGTGGTCAAGCCAGTTGCTCAGCTCTACGCAGCTGTTTCTTCCAGCTCTGTGGTTCCCTTTTCCGATCACTCTGCACAGGAAGGCACTTGCACAAAGGAGTACCTGGCTCTGAGAAGGAGCCTTCCTGGAAGCTCGAAGACAGTCAGGGATCGGCATGGGGAGGACTAAGTCTCAGCCAAGCACCGGTGTCTGCTGCCACTGGCTCACACCTGGGAAAATCCATAGGCCCCTTGGCCCAGGACTGAGCCTCATGTCCTCTAAATGGTCCCGTTTAATTGCATTTTTCTGTATTTTTCTGTATCACCCAAGACTAATATATGTCGAGGCTGTGCAGCTAAATGCTCCTTCAAGTGTCTTCTGCAGGATGACCAGCAGATGTTACACAGTACTAGAATAAAACAGCAGGTGGAATACTGTTTCCATCCTCCAGTTCCTGCGAGGTATCAGGTACTGGGTGACCAGAAGGTAAGACAGGCGCATGCCTCAAAGCAAAGAACACTGGAAAGAGACAGGACCTGAGTATGGCTGGCTCCTGTTCTATTGACATGGCTCTTTCTAGAGATACTACCAGTCCCAGAAATGAGAAATCAGAGTCTTCGGGGAAGGTCAGACATAAATGTACATCTCATCCATGTGACAGAAGATGGACATGACTGGATGGCACCATTGGAATTTCAAAAATGTCGCTCAGGTGGATAAACCTCGAATGCTGCAGGGATCAAGCAACAAGGTTGACTAGTCCAGGTATTTGGTCCTGGATGTCTGTATAGGATCTAGGGGCAAGAGTCAAGGGCGAGAGTTGCGGAGATGAGAATGAAGCCTCAGAGATGGTCTGCTCAGCACGTCCCTTCTCCTGCAGGACCTGGGTCTCCTGCAGGACCATGTCAAACCTCGGTGAGCATCCTTTTCTCTGCATATGCCCGATGTGGAGTGGGCAGGTAGCTGGGTCTCCGTTCCCGGGCGGCCTCAGAGAAGTCTGGCTTTCCAAGTCCATTGTCAGTGGCCTTCAGGTCAGGCGTGGGCTGCCCGCAAGTGACATGGGTGTACTGTCCCTGCTCCTCCTGCTCCGTCTCCCGGTGGTAGAAGTAGTTGAAGTTGGAGACTATGACCGGGACGGGCAGGGCAATGGTGAGGACCCCAGCGATGGCACACAGCGAGCCCACAATCTTGCCCCCCACGGTCATGGGGTACATGTCCCCATAGCCCACAGTGGTCATGGTCACCACCGCCCACCAGAAGGCATCCGGGATGCTGGGGAAGAGCGAATCACCATCATCAGCCTCAGCAAAGTAAACAGCACTGGAGAAGAGGATGACTCCGATGAAGAGGAAGAAGATGAGCAGCCCCAGCTCCCTCATGGAGGCCTGCAAGGTCTTGCCCAGGATCTGCAGCCCCTTGGAGTGGCGGGAGAGCTTGAAGATGCGGAACACCCGGACCAGGCGGATCACCCTGAGGATGGCCAGGGACATGGCCTGCTGCCCGTTCTGGCCACCGCCTCCACTCATTGACTGCTGCTCCTGTTGCTGTGCCAGCTCCGTGCCCAGGGTGATGAAGTAGGGGAAGATGGCCACTATGTCGATGATGTTCATGATGTTCCGGAAGAAGGCTGGCTTGCTGGGGCAGGCAGAGAAGCGCACCAGGAGCTCAAACGTGAACCACACAATGCATAGAGTCTCCACCAGGAAGAAGGGGTCTGTAAAGAAGGAGCCCCCAAGAGTACTGAGTGAGGGTGAGCCCCCTGTCCCCATCGCCCCAGGGGCGAGGCCACGATGGAAGGTATACGGATCATCCTCGTCCTCCTCTTCCTCCTGACTGCCTCTGGAAGCTGGGGCCACTCGACTCACACCGTCACTGCTTCCCCCGCGACCCTCTGCCCGGAACTGGGGCAGGGTCTCCAGGCAGAAGATGACGATGGAGATGAGGATGACCAGCACGGAGACGATGGCGATGCCTCTGGCGGGGCCCGAGCTCTCAGGGTACTCGAAGAGCAGCCATACCTGGCGCTGGAAGGGCTGGGAGGGCAGCGGCTTCTCGTCCTCGCCCCCTTCCGGCAGGCAGCCCTCGTCCTCCCGGAAGGCCGCCAGGGCCTCGTCGCCCAGTTGGTAGAAGCGGATCTCCTCCTGGAAGATGTCCAGGGGCACGTTGACCGGCCTGCGCAGGCGGCCCCCGGACTGGTAGTAGTAGAGGATGGCGTCGAAGCTGGGCCGGTGGCGATCGAAGAAGTACTCGTTGCGGAGCGGGTCGAAGAAGCGGACGCGGCGGCCCGGGTCTCCCAGGAGCGTGTCAGGGAACAGCGACAGGGTGCGCAGCTGCGTCTCGAAGCGCAGCCCGGAGATGTTGATGACCAGCCGCTCGCTGCTGCAGCAGCCCCCGGCGCCGCCGGCCTCCGGGAAGTCTGCGGCGTCCTGCGGCTCCCCGTCCGGGCCCCGGGCCTCGGCCGGCGCCGCCAGCGCGAGGGACTTCTCGGACCGCATGTCCCCGCGCTCCCGGGGCGCGCCCGGAGCCTGGCGCCGCTAGGGTGGGGCTGGGGTGGGCGGTGACCTGGGGCAGAGGAGGTGGCCCTGCGCTGAGAGGACCCGCGCCGCTGTGGCGAGCCCCGGTGCCGAGCCCCCGACGCCGGAACCGCAGGCTGGAGCACAGAACACTCCGCCCGGGAGACGCGTGGCCGCGCCCCTCGCCGTTCCCAGCCCGGCTCCCGCCGCGGTCCGCGCGGCACCCCAGCTGGCTCGCCCAGCTCCCGCCGCGCTCCTCCCGCAGCTCCAGACTACAGACCCCGGCGGCCCTCGGTGCCCAGCGCCAGATGCGCCTCCCGCCGGCTGGCTCGGCCTCCGCCCTGCGTCCCCCACAGGGCTCAGTCCGGCCAAGGTCGCGGCTCCAGCTACCACCTCCACCACCGCCGCCGCCTCCTCCCCGGCAGCGGCTCCAAGGCACTGAGAGGGCCTAAGGCTGCCCCGGCGCCGGAGCGCGGGACCCACCTCCCCGCCCGCGAGCCTCCTGCAGGAGCCGCTGGGTCTGCACAGCCGGTCCTTCCCAACACACCCTCCCCGTGACGTGTCAGGCCCCGCCCGCTGCCCCCTCCCACCCCACGCCCACAGCACACCCCTCACCCCGCCGGAGGCCGCTGCCAACCGTGTTCACGAGCGCACGCTCACCTCCTGCAGCCTTTCCCGCGCTCTCCTGGCGCGCCTCTGGCTGGCACACATTCCTATTCACCCCCCTAAATACACACCTAAATACACCCTAATACCACACCCCCTCCACTCCGCAGCAGGCTGTTCTTGGTGTATTGAGCTGACCTGCGCGGTGGTACTGTGTTTCATCCACGGGCAATCCCACCCCGCCGCCTCCAAATGCGCCCCTGCCCACTACAGGCCACAGAGCCCACGGCTGCCACCCATCCAAACATTTGGTGAAAAAATTAAATCCTGGGTTGTCGCCTGTATTTACAGAAATCCATTTGCCTGCTTCTCTGTATCTGCTGAAAGGGGAGGAGGGAGTAGTATATTTGGAAACTTCTGGAGAGCTCCCCAATTGGATTGTATTCTAAAGCAATGCACACACACACACACACACACACACACACACACACACACACACACACACACACACACACACACCCCTCCACCGGAATTTCCCTTTGCAAAGCTAGGAGGGCTTTGCAGCAACTCTCCTGAGAGGATGGCAGAATGACTGTCCGCAGGAGCAGGAAGCCTTCCAGCGTCTTTCCCATCGCAAGTTCTCCTTCTCCAGGGAGTCTTGGACCTGCCAAGCAGCAGAGACTGATGAGGACCATCCCTCAAACATGTCCTGGCACAGGGACAGGCAGCCTGGGCACAGGGCTGCCAGCCTCTCTGGGATAGCATCTGGAACTTCCACTCGTTGGGCCTCTAAGAAGAAGGAAGGAAGGGTGAGTGGAGAGAGGTATGACTGTGAAAAAATCTTAATAATAATAATAGTAATAATAATAATAGCTAGGCTTTCTGAGCATCTGGTATGGTATGTGCCCTCCACAAGCCAAGAGTAAGGAACATTACCAAAAAAGTCACCTCTGCCCCTAGGCCACATTCCATAGAGGACTCATTTGGCAATATTTGGGTAGGGCAGAGGTTATGGTAGGGACCACTTGATGCTGTCCCTAACTCTCCAGGAGGAAGGAGCTAGGAAGGGCTTTGCACCCCCCTCTGCCAGAGACATTGTCTTTCTTCACTAGGTCACATGGATGAAGCTGTGGTGGAGGAGAACCCACATGATCTTTTCAGACTGCCCCTTCCAAACAGGCTGGGATTTGCTCCTTGAATCTCAGTTTTCCCCCTTTTTAGCTGGCTTTGGTCAACAAGAACTGGCTGACAGCTGCTTTTGTGCAGATGTTTGTACATTAATAAAAGTTCACTGAGGACAATAATGAGCATGGTACGCAAAGGTACTCTCCAACCACAAGATGCATAGAAGAGTTCTCTGTATTGCACAAAGCCTTTTAAAACCATAGTGGTTCTCAGCAGCATCTGCTCCCAGGAGGTGGGGGTGGGGGCTAAGGCTCCTGGACCTGTAGAAGAGAGTTCAGGTGCTCAGTGGGTGGAAGACACTACCCTCAGAAGGCACTGCAGCCTCAGCTCTTTGCTTTGCACCTCCCCTCTGCTTCCTTTCCACACTGCTGATTCCTACCCCCTCCCCTCACCTTGCACATTTCAGTGAAGGGCGAGATAGTATGCTGAGTTTACCCAGTCAACAGTTTTCCCATTTACAGGCTGTGTAATTAAGCGATTTAGACTTCAAGCAAAAGTTACTTCATTCAAAAAAAATTAAAGGAAAGCCATGAGAACAACAACAAAAATACAATAGACGAGATACTTTTGTACCCTTGTCTAATTATCTGTAACTACTTTGTGGATTGTAAATAGACTTGCCTGTGAGCCTTTGAGTTTTTGTTTCCAAACTTTGGAATGAATCATTCACTTGCATCCTGGTTTTCATCGTTGCCATGTTTATCCAAGAAGTTGTCAACTAGGTGAGTAACTACAAAACCAAGAGGCATGGGAAGGAGCCTGCATTTTGCTGGGGAGGTGCACAGCCCAGTCTGAGTCTTCCAGCAATGAGAACTTACCTACAGGCAGAGCTGATGCCCCGCAGTTACCTTCACATCAAGTACCAAGCTGTGCCCCCAGAAAGGTTTCCTCATGCATGGGAGGTTCTCCCGGGAGGGAAAAGCCATTAGCAAAGTCATGAATCAGAGCTCTGTTTTTAGATCTTTTGTAAAATAGACTGTGTCTTGCTTAAAAGAAACCCTGTGCCCAGATCATTCCTTTTCACTGTACATTAAGGAGGAGTACAATCACACCTGTAGAAGGCAGTTCCCAGGTGAAGGAACAAAGGAAGCTCAACTCCCTCCATGGATGCTGTGACTCCGTTTCCTGTGCCAGATGATTTTTTTCCCCAGCAGCATCCACCAAATACCAATCTCCTGCCAGAAGATTGTTTTCTTGTTGTATTTGGATTCAGATGTTTGTAGCAATCATACCAAGTCATTCATTTATTAAACTAGTACTTATTCAGCAGCTACTGGTGTCAATATGGTGCCAGGTGCTAAGAATTTAATAATAATCAAGACAAAATACTTGCTCTTGTAACCTTCGGTTTTTTGCTTTTGGTTTTTTTTTTTTTTTTTTTTGGTTTTCAGTTTTTTTTTGCTTTTGTAACCTTAAACGTAAGATTCTGGGCAGGTGGAAATTTTTAACATAAGCAATAAAGAAAATATTTCATATTGCATATTATAGTAAATGTTTTGAAGAGAATCCATGGGATGCTATGCTAGAAATGAACCTGGAGATTCAGCCTTAAGAGGGAAGTTGGTAGAAAAAGCTCCCTCTGAAGAATTATTTCAGCTGAGAATTCAAAGATGAGCATGGCCAGCCGTGTTCAGAAGCAGAAGGAGACAAGTGCAGAAGCCCTGAACTAGAAAAGCCCTGAGTGTTGAACAAGCTTAAAGATTATGTGCAAGAGAAGTGCAAGATGCGGCTGAAGAAGAAGCAAAGGGGAAGGTCTGGGTGGTAAAGTGAAAGGAGTTACACAGAGGTAAAAGAAGTGAAAGACCAGAAAACTGCAGGGACCTGGGGAGAGGTAGTTAGTGACTTGGAGTAAGTCAGGCAGAGAGGAGAGGGGCTTGGAACTTCAGAAACTGCGAATCAGCAGGATACAGAGCTGAGAAAGATGGGTCAGCAGTGCCATTGACTGAAAACAGGAAGAGACCGAGGGTAAACCAGTTGGGATCAACCCAGGGCTACGTTCAGGCATGTGTGTGTATGGGTTGGCAGACTAGACATGTGAACACAGCCATCATGAAGACACTTGTTCATTCATTCAGGTCTGGAATGTGGATGAAAATGTATGATTTATCAATTTAAAATTTTAAGACTAAAGCCATGACATTTCTAGAAAGCTAGAATATCGACACCTTGAGGTGTATGTCAAACAAAATAAGCACATAGAATGTGGCACGTAATTTGACAACAATTTATCTTCTTCACTTGGCTTCAGACCCTCAAATGCACTTATTCCAGGTATATAAATGATCATTCTATCACATTCCCAGACTGCTTTTTGTTACATTTTGCACTCTGTATGTGTGTGTGCACATGCGTGTGTGTGCTTGTCATCATCCTCCAATAGGATCCCTTTGTTGTCTTCTGGGAAGGAAGGAGGATGTCCATGGCCATAGTCTTAGCCTCCTTTCTCTGAGTAACCCCTGGGAAGGTTCTCCTCTCACCCACAGGTCCCTGGTCTGAGAACAAGCTGGGAGTAGCCAGGGAAGAGAATTGAACCTAGGACCCAACAAACGCTAGGCAAATGCTTTATGACTGAACTATACACTCCAGCCCACAATTTGTCTTTTGTTCCTCTCCCTCTACTCATGCACACACGCATGCACACACACACACACCCCTCCAAAATTTGGTCATCTAAGAGTTACACTAAAAATGAATCAGATGAACTCTATGATTTATCTCCTGCCAATACTGTAGCACCCATTGACTCCACAAACTAATTAAAGTTTCCTGCCCACACTTGATAGCATAACTCTTAGACCTAATGCCCCCTCTCACTATTTTAGTGGTTGGAAGCAGTGTGACCATTTCCTTCCACATAGGATTTCCTCATGACCAAATAGACAGGGGAAAGATAAATGCAAAGACCTCTCCAATAGACAAGCACTATTTATAATTAACTGCCTCATCCAAGTTTTGAATGATGGTGATGTGGATGTCATTTACAAAATTGTGATGGTGGTGGTGATGATTATGATGATGCTTCAGAGAGAAAAATATAGCAGCTTTCACTTGAGTGAAGATGTATATTGGGAAAGGAATGCATTAGACATCTGTGCCACGCAAATCCACAGCCTTAGGAAAAGGGTGTCCCCTGCCAAGAAATACATCTATAAGGAACCCTATCTTTCAGGGAGGATTGCAAGAGAACTGGTTAGTATCACAAGTCTGGAGTCTGCTTCTTCCTTCCTTACTGTGATATAATTAGTGCTGCTTTCCAAAGCTCTCCAGTCTTGTACCTTTCAGGAACAGGGCACTTGTACCCTTTAGCTTCCTCGGGCTGGCTGATAGCAGGCAGGATGTTTTGGCAAATGAGTTTTGAGCAGAAAGAATACATTTCACTTCACTTCAAAACTACTGCATCACCATTAAGAAAACCCCCAAAGCTTTCTTACTACAACAACAACTACTAGCATGGTCCAGGATGACAGTTGCTCGGTCAGAGATGCCCAGAGTGAGATGACACAGAGCTGGGCCCCCAGCAGAGGCAATGGTAGCATGACTGAAAACCAATCCCGTGTGGTTGTAAATTTCTGATGTTCAGGGATTGACTTGTTACCATGGTGTCACTGAGTCTATACAAATTGCTTCAGAATTTGATTCCCAGAAATGAGAAGCTGCTATAATAAAACATTTAGAATTGGTGACATTGGCTCTGAAGCCAGATAGTGGACCGTGAAGACACTTTACTGGATGTTGCTGGAGGTGCTCCAGGTCACAAATGGCAAAATATTT